AAATATATCGTATGAGGCATCAAAAAGAAAAGAAAGCTGCCCGAATATACGTCAACATAACACGTTATTGATCTACTCTCGGGGGAAAACAAAAAAGCAAGAGGTTCAAGACACGTGGGCTGGCGGACTAACATAAGACGAAAAGCCATGTGGATGTGATTTAGGACGTGATTGAGAATGTAAGGCGCTTCGTGGTTCGGTGCCTCGCAGTCTCACATAAGTTATGTGATGCGAAAGCTCCTAATTGGCTCGCGTCCACGCACCCAATCTACGAGTCTGTGAGATGGCCTGCTTTGGCTGCTCCTTTTAAGGCAATGATTGTTACACGGAACGTGGCAGTTGGTTGTTTCGATACGACCTTCTATGCATGCCATATACCCTAGCTACATCCTGAGTTAGGTTAGGTACCTAATCGACTTTGACTGTGCAGGACTTTAGTCGAGATCCTTCGAGATTTACTCTAGCCGTCTCCATCACTAGCACAGACCATGCCTCATCAACTCCTCGGGACGACTAAGACAATTATACCTTACCGACGTTATAACCCCCCCACCGAAGTTAGTTGCGTACCTGGGGGCATCAGAATAGCCCTAACCAATATGACGACCTTGGTGATGCTGACCCATCTTATACACCTATCAGCTTAGATCTTGGCAGTCCAGTAAACACGCAGGGCGAGTAGGCTTTTATAAAAAGACACAGCCTGCTTACGGGTGGTACGTGATGCCACCCTACCATTTCTCAGCTGGCCTATAGCGCTGAGTCGAGCAGCTCCGTTTCGACAACTTCTTACCCACTTACCACGTTGATTCGCATGCATGTCAGCCCGCGCGGCCACGCATCCTGTCTGAGGGGCTGCCACTCCGAGTGAATGAATTAATTGAACCTAATGTATAGATAGAGTTCTTACCCACTCGTTCGCGGCCATGTGTCGGCTTAAAAGGACTTCCTTCTTTATAACCATTATTTGCTGCTGCTCCGACAGCAATCTCTCGTTTTCATCTCGCTCTGGCCTTGGGACGACTCGAGCGATGAGGGAGGGGTTGTCCGGCGGGAAAATCAGAATTCAATGGCGGTCCTCTCATCGATAATCTCGGCCGAGTTGGATACGTCCCTTGACGTGCCCGCCCTTAATCCGCCGAATGGTATCGCGTCAAATTTTGGCAATCCGCCAAACAGGAACTACATTGCCCAAGCCGTAATACCAACTTGTTTGGCTCTCACAACTACAGCCGTCCTCCTCCGGATATGTCATAGGCTATTCTGTCTCAAGAAATTTGGGTTTCCCGACGGTAAGTACCTCACCAACTAGAATTTATTACTCATTCTAACATTCAGTCATAGTATTAATGTTAATATCTCTTGGCTGCTATATCGTAGGCGCATACCTAGATTACCGGCTGGTAGAGAACCCTGGCGTTTTTGTTCATCAATGGGATGTCCTGCTAAAAGACATGTCGGATATCCTCTTTCCGGTATTCCTCAGTGGCAGTTTCTACATCGGAGCTGTCCTAACAATAAAAGCGGCGATACTTCTGGATTGGATCCGTTCACTCATTCCGTACGGCGTACGGAATAACTTCTTCTGGCTCTGTTATGGCGTGCTGGGCGCGAATGTCATATTCTACATCGTAACTCTCTTCCTCATGAACTTCGCCTGCGTTCCTATTGAGAAAAACTGGAACTCCCTATTCGTCGGTGGCTCCTGTCCGGTCAACAGGAAGGCCCTCAACATCACATCAGCTGTGCTGAATCTTTGCTCGGACATTTCAATTCTGCTTCTGCCGCAGCACGTCATCTGGCGCTTAGATATGTCAGCAAAAAGAAAAGTCGGCGTCTCTGTTATATTTGCTATAGGTGCTTTGTATGTGCGAATGGTTACATCTTCTATACTTCTATATTTCCATCTCTATTTTTACTTTATAGTTTTCAATATTAAGCTAGGCTTATATTTTCTACTCTCTTTTCTTTCAATACGTGTGAATTTGGCAGCCAACGGAACGCTAATATCAGGAAATATTATAGCTGCTGTGCTTCAGCAGGGTTGCGCCTTCGTGCGATACTCAACTATTCTAGGTCAGATGATACAATTTACCACACAGCGCCTATGATGCTCTGGGCTCTAGCCGAGATGACTTGCATGTTCCTCATCTTCGGCACTCCGAGTGCGGCCGAGATCCTATCGGAGATTCGTTTGCTCGGCCGGTTCACTTCATCACCACGATCGCTTGGAGATCGACTGACTCGACGCTCGGGCTCCAGAGCCGGTATACCGTCATGGCCTGGCTCAGATATGACAAATAACCCCCAAGCGAATTCATCACACGCATACTACCGCAGGATAAACAATTTTAATCGCGGCGTCGTTCTGACGACGATAGGTTCCCAGGGCAATATGCGTTCCGATTCGATAGAGCACCTCAAGGACCACGTAGTAATACAACCCCCTGAGCGCGGAAAGATAGTACGGACTACGCATTTCGAGACGCACGAGGAATATGGCGATTTTGAGCGCGACCTCGCTCCATACGATGGATATGATCGCCAACATCCCTGGGCAAGGGACCGTATCTAGAAATACGGTTCTTTCATATAGATTAATACATGTTTTAATCTTCATATCGAATTTCTCTGCGTTTATGTTACTGATACAATGCCGTTCCGTAATGGACCTGGACATTGGACCTGGGAGATATTAACGCCATTGGATGCATGCATGATAGGCTATACTCTAATTAACTCGCTGATCTTAAAGTGCTAACTACCTCATAGGACATTCTCGGAAAGGTGCGGCAGCTGCAATCTAGGCTTTTCCTTTGGTAGCATCTGTGTCAGCCCCTATCTTGGTATCACTACTCACATCCCACTTCGAATACAAGTCCTGAGGGAGCATCTTCTTCGGAGTCGAGAGTTTGGACAGAATCAATTTGCGTTCTCCTGCGTCATACCTCAGCGTTACACTCTCGTTGCAATCCTTCACGATTTTGACGATTTTGCGGATCAATGCAGCCAATTTTGTCAAATGTCTCTGGTTATCCTGTTCCCATCTCTTGATTTGAGCGGTGACATCTTCTACCTTCGGGACCTGGAACACACCACGCTGATGATAAGCTCGTACTAGTCTAGGAGTCTGTGATACCCAGAGTTGTGGTGCGACCTCACGGATCTCGAGGGGCTTGTGGGACACGCGAGTTTTGATCTCAAGCGTAGAGTTGAGAGGAACCGCTTGGCCATCTTGTTGAACAACTAGCTTCGACCCCTTGATACTAGTCCCCGCATTGCTGTTCGTCGGCGATAGGGAGAGTGATTCTAATACGCTTGTCAGGTCAACCGGCGACTTTGCTTTACTGGTAGAAGACGACGATGAGCCCGCCTTGGTATCCACATATCCGTCTGTCTCATGGCGGACGATGATACTCAGTCCACCGAAGCGGTACGAGATGATTCTATGGTGTCCAGTACTACCAACGATCTTGTTAGTCGTACAGGCCTTTTCAAATTCATGTCCGAAGCCCCTAAACTCATTAGGGCCGATGATCTCATGGGTGGCGGTTTCATCACGGCTGAATATCGCAGTATTCTTGTTGACTTCAATGTTGATGGTGAACTCCTCAAGTCCGTTTCTCGAAGAAGTAGGATCAACGAAAGTCAGAAGTTTGCGGATATTATTGCGATCAGTCACGACGTCGACGGATTGGATGTCAAAGGATGGGTCTGTGATATAGATAGCACGGAACAGGGGCTCAAGTGGGCTTTCGGGGTGACGAGCCGCATTTTGGGCAATGTAGATAAGGCCAGTGTCCTTATTTAGCCTCTGGGGAACCTTCGGGGCAGCCCAAAGTGCTGGGCTACCAGGGACAGCTATGGTTGGATTAGGTGATTCAATCCAATTGTATGAAGACAGGTACTTGACATCGGTGATTGATGCAGTAGGGGGAGCATCAAGACCCTGAAGGTCTGAAGGGGAAATCTTTGCGATAACTTTGGACGACATTGTTTGATATGGTGTTGAAGCGATCAACTGGGTAGAAACCTCACGGTTAGACTAAATGAAGGGAATATTATGAGAAGAAGGAATATAAATATAACCCCGCTATTTTGACGATATTGAAGACGTGCTGCCTCAGGTGCTCAGCCTGCCTTCATAGCCTGCCTTCTTGTGGCTGCCTCTTAGGCCTCAGAAATAGATGCGGTGGCACAGCATAGCCTGCCTGCCTGCCTGCCTTACATTCTTTCAAACGGCCAAATTAATGCATACGATTTATTTATGAGGCCCAATTAATACAAATACACTGTATGATGCGGGGAACTACCTATGCCGGTATCCGTTACTAGAATTACATACTGTGAGCCTGTCAGAAGCTGGGGTTAGAAGCGGGATTCAATAGAAAGTGCTACTACCGACGGCATAGGGGGGCCTCCTTTGTCAAGGTTTAAGCTATGGAATGGTGAGACATGTTTGTTCAATAAACAAGGCAGACTTGCGAAGTTACAGTTTAGTCGAATGCCTGTTGGCTTTCAACCATTTCATGAAATTCACCCCTGCCAATTGCGGCGTTAGGCATTTTACCAACATTTACGGAGTGTGATATAAGTCATTCATCAACGCTCTCAAGTAATAGATACCTACCAAGGTATTATACAATGAGAGTTCACAAGGGAGAGAGTTACATATAGCATTAAAATTATCGTTATATCGAACGGTGAATAAAGTACCTTAGGAATTCATCGGCGCGGTTGTCTCTCCTAACCAATACACTCATATTATAAGATACATACATCATGTGAGGCCAATACTAAAATGTCATATATCGCGTATCACATCCAGTTGACGTGTCAAGTGAAGCGTGGGACAAGGACCATTGTTAGGAAACGTTCATCCAATAGGAGCTATAGAACCCCGAGCAGCACACCCATCTTCTTTCTTTCTATCCTCATTTCGACCCGAGTAGTAATTTGATGCCTCAAACTTCCCAGGCAACTCCGTTGGTCGGCTCAACTCAGTAGTAAACGGGATTCTCCGGATCAGTAAAGTCAAACACAACAGCTGAGTGCGGCTTAGCACCGCCACGGTTTGCAAACTCGCGTTGGAACTCTATGCTGCGGTTGAAGCTCAAGGACCCGTCGTCGAGGATGTCGATATATAGAGCCTTGTAGTCCGCTGGAGTGTTAATTAGACCAATATCTCCTGTCTGTACAAAGTAGTCCGTTACTACGATGTGTCGCTGGTCTGGCGTGATCTTGATGTAGTGGGGGCCAATTGTTGGTTGATCCTCATCCGGGTCATCCAATCGTTTCACATTGTCTAAGTCTGAAATATCGAGAGCAGCTATATGGTCTGCTGTTGTTAATGTGAAATAAGCGAAATTTCCATCCGCACTTATATCAGAGCTAACAAGAAGAGTGGTTAGTTACCTGACCGGGAACTGTACATAGATCTAACGAGAGATCACTTACTAGATGGCAACGGTATCGCGAGCCTTAGGTCCCAGGTCGTAGAGCAGCTTCGCTACACCTTGCTTGCCGTTACCGTCCTTACGGAAGGGGTAGATAATCCAGACCTGGCCTAGGTGAACTGCAGTTGCAAGGGCAGCTCCTTCGGGATTTCCGGGAATGAACTTGACATCTTGAATACCGCCACCCTGTGTTGATCATTAGAAAGGGATCTGCTAATAGTGAAGAGTTGATATCACATACATTGGGAATCTCGATAGTGCTAATAATCTCGCGTGATGGAAGATCCCAGAGCCGTAGGGTATCAGCTCGTTGAATTCCTAAACTCGGTTTTAAGATGCTTAGGGGAACAATGAAGTCGGAAGTAAGAATAACATTCCTGTCGAAATCAACTGCTAAACCATGTGGAGAAAACTGTTCCCCGAGGATGTTAAGTAGACCGTCCACATTCTCAGGCCACTCATGGATGATGTTAAATTCAGCATCAGTTTCAACCAGCCTTCCTGGTGAAGTACCCAGAGCAGCTTAAGTAGAGGTTAGCAGGTATTAAATACTTGACTGGATCGACGTATTAACTTACAGCCCATATAGGTGATGAAAAATCCTCTGCCGTCAGAGTTAGTAAGCCCCTATTTAATACTTTCAGCATAATAATAGACTTACCCATCAGGTTTCGCACGGATCTCATCAACTATAGATGAAAGTAGTGCACGATTGCTCTTCTTGAAAGTCGGACGATATGGGTCCGTAGTGTCGAAGTAAAAAGCAGTGTCTTGCGTCTTCAGGAGGGATAGCAGCCCGCCACCAATCAAAGTCTTCCCGTCGTGCGAGGGACCGAGATGATGTGGGCTGTTTCCACTTGAGGGGACATCTGTAACCCAAAGAAGGGTTCCAAATGTGTCCTATTAATAGTTAGCCTCCAAAGCGACTCATAAACTTATACCTACTCACATCGTCAAGACTATATGTCGCCAGAAAGTCTATAGATCATTAGCTACTTAATCCTACAGCTTAACATAATCGTTATTATACTTGCCCTTATGCTGATTGTCGCCGGAAGCGGTCCAAAAGTAACCTATCTTCTTAGGTTTGATGCTGCTTCCCTCAAAAGGGGGACTCTCTAATGGCGGCGTTGGAATTTGCAAAATAGGTAGAGGCGGAGCGTTGCTCGTCAGGGGTTCGGTGACACCAGGAATCGTAGGAATTAGTGGAGGTAAAGACAGAGCCGAAACTGACGGCGCAGCGATAAACGCAGCAAGCAGTAAGGCTACTGGGGAAGACATTATGGAGAGTGATGTCCAACCTTGAAGGTATGTTGTCTCAGATATTGGCCTATAGAGAAGAGACAATAAGATCCGAGTTCAACCTTTTATCGAGGTGTCAACTGCCTCCTATTATATAGTAAAATCTGTCTTGGAAGTTCCTATAGATTCTGGCATCACATTTCATTGAAAATCACAAGCTACCTCATGACTCCTTCACTTGATGCTATCCCACGAAGTATTGACGATCCCAATTCCCCTCAGATGTTGCCATAATTCGTTTGAATAGCATCACGAAGCTCTCGATCTTAGTATTATCTCGACATCGACTACAAAAGTCGAATTCTACTTGCTGTGAGCTACCACTGAGGTAATCAGCTACCTCGTATGAGGTCAAGTCTAGTCACGGGGATGAAAAAAGCTGAAGCTCAAATAACCGCATACGGACCTGATCGGCGCTTTGCGTTATCTGTTTCTACAGCTCCCAGAGCCTAGGTAAGACAATAGTCTTCCAAAAGAGGTCAATCTACATAGATATATACCAGTTCAGGCTACGGGATGCATAAGCCAACAATACGATGCTCCAGCAAAGCTTTAGTTGGTGCAGCGCTAAGCTTTCGATTCCAATAGTCTGGATGACAGCTACCGGGACATGGGTTAGTTCACTGGGCTAGTAAGGATAGAATCACATCAGGTAACTATAAGCTTTTAATCGTGGGGCAGTAACTTCATCATCAACACTAACCTTCGCCTAGTTCACGAATAACATAAGTTTGGTATTAGGCATAGGCGGCCAAAATAGTCTTTATCCTATTTACGTTCAGGACCACTAATGGAACCTAGTCAAGTTTATTCTAAAAGCTAGACGTAGAAATCGTCACTTAAGGCCATTCCAAAGAGTGTAACTAAATAAGTTAATAGAGGGAGTAGGTATTGAATCAATCTATCGGTGCCTTGCAGTAGTCATGCGTTACTCTCGTCCCTTAGCTTTATAGATACGTGATAATGTTCATGCAAGCCTTACATAGTAAAGCAGAAAAAGAATAGTTAAGCCGGTTAGTCGATATGTCTAGACGCAAGCGTAATGACTATGCTATTGCAAACGCCACTCACTTTCCCCTTTTGGAAATAAACGCTATGTAACATGCCTCAATCTTGCCCTGGCTTAGTTGTGAGTCTAGCTACTGAGAACCAACATTATCTGCAATGAGGCCGCAAGATGGCGCAAGCGGTCACTAACAGTTGGCAGATCATGATGGGCGCAGATAGTTCGAGATTTCGTTCCTTCTGCTGTTACCCTGGAGTATCGCTCATCAAACTATGCAGCATTTATTCCCCATTGATGGGTTGCCAAGACATGACGTTATTTTAATATGGATGGTGCTATAAGCCCCCGCATATGAGCAATAGGCAACGTCGCGCGGAAATCTCATCAAGTTCATTAACATCTCCGGGTTCAACCTTGCTTGGCGCTGCGATGTAGGTATCTGGGGTGGTTTTGCTCGTGGATCGTAGAGTCGATACCCCTGGCTGGGCGTGAATGAGGAGGGGAGCTCAAAATTGGCTATTGCAATGGCGTGCCCTGCCGGATGAAAATCCGTAGATTAAGAGGTGTATATAAGTCAGTAATAACAGTTTGTTCTCGCTGCATGATCTCCTGAACTACATCCGCCTTGCAGTACTCTTATTTCCACTACCGTACGCTTGTAGCCAATATGAGGGTTCTCCAAACCTCCTCCCTATTTCTCGCAGCATGGGGTGCCAGCGGCTCTGTTATAGAGCGTCAAAGTAAGGGTGGCTTCGAAGACGGCCAGCCGATTGACGGTAACGGAAAGGGTGCACCATTCTCAGGTACTTTCCACCATAGCTATCGCCGGTATTCTGAACCATCATATTAACCATACGCTTCTTAGGTGGGACAAACCATGCCCTTGACCTCCAAAATCCAGACAACCTTGGTCAGCAAAGCACCGATAATGGTGTCGTACCAAACCTCAAGTGGAGCTTTTCAGACTCAAAGACGAGGATCTTGAGAGGCGGCTGGGTTCGAGAACAGGTTGTCACAGATCTGCCTAGCAGTAAGCAGATCTCATCTGCTCAGCAGCATTTGACTAAAGGCTCGATCCGGGAGCTGCACTGGCATCGAGTGGTAAGTACTTCATCAACTAGATATAATATTTCTTCACTAACAATATGACCTCAGGCCGAGTGGGGATATGTCTACGCTGGGTCGATCTTGGTTTCAGGAGTAAACCAGGACGGTCAATTCGAAGTTGCTAAACTCGATGAAGGAGATGTTTGGTACTTCCCTAAGGGTGTAGCTCATACCGTCCAAGGTCTTGAGGATGAAAATGAATTCCTCCTAATATTTGACGACGGTGATTTCGATGCTGTGGGGTAAGCCATCATCATCAACCTCATCACCATCTAAGCCACGCTAACGAATCCAAGGACAACTTTTAATGTGGATGACTGGATCACGCATACTCCTAAGTCGATTCTTGCTAAGAACTTCGGACTTCCTGAGTCCGTCTTCGGTTCAGTGCCATCTCCAAACCCGTATATCTCCAACGGAACCGTCGACCATCATAACGTGACTGGAGGCAATGGCGAGCTCACCGGCAACGCCTCATTCGCTTATTACTCGAAAGACCATCCTTTGGAAAAGGTCCCCGGAGAAGGCGGTACACTTCGTATTGTTGACTCGAAAACGTTCCCCATTGCGACAACTATAGCCGCTAGTATTGTCACTCTTAAGCCTGGTGGTCTGCGAGAGCTGCACTGGCATCCAAACGTAAGCCCTGCGTATTATCTCACGGTTTCATATCTAACAGAGTTTCTTAGGCCGAGGAATGGCTTTACTTCCATAAAGGCCAAGGACGCGCGACCGTGTTTATAGGTAGCGCTGCTGCTCGGACCTTTGACTTTAGAGCTGGAGATACCGGCGTGTTCCCGGACAATAGCGGTAAGCTTGGATCTCAATTTATAAGACTTGTATAAGCTAATGATCTAAGGTCACTACATCGAGAATACTTCAGACACCGATGAGTTGGTATGGATCGAGATATACAAGAGTGACCGAGTTGAAGATATCTCCCTGACCCAGTGGCTCGCTCTAACACCAGCGGGTATCGTAGCCACATCTTTAAACATTCCGCTGGAAGTGGCAGAAAACCTACAGAAGGAAAAGCAAGTCCTCATTAAGGATAGGTGAGTGGCTTGTACGTTGCGTATAAGCTCTCGAATGGAAAGACACTGTAGCCTACTTCATGTTGGTGCAATAATTCATGACTTAAGATGTAATACATAATATGATGGCCTATCGGCGTTACCTTTACTACTGCATCCATGTCACATACATGATCTCTTCTCACTCGCCGATCGTCCTGTTCTAAGCGTGACAAATGCGTCGTGCAACAACAGCCAACAACCTTCAAGGGCCGCTGGCATATGCTTCTAGCTCTGTATTGAACTTCGAACTCCACGTACGATGGGACCTACTACCCCCGAATTACATCAATATACCTCGAAAGATATACCTATGTGCCGACGTAGAATAGAGAGCTTCACGACACATGATAAACTGTAGATCTAGAAGCTATATTCTGACGACCATGTCTTGGCAGTAAGGCTGGCGTGCGACAAAGCCCACTACTAAATCCATGGTGTTGGGTGAGACCAATGCTACGGTCATCTTACATGCACATCGCCCCCAAATAACTGGCCAACAAAACCTCAGCTGACATGAATAGCAAAGTTACCCAAGAAGTGCAACAATCGACCTTGTCAGCCCTAACAAATAGAGAACTTTAAATCCCCAAAAGATGAGCAATCATAAAGTTGATAAGGCTCGCCCCCATCGAGTGAGCAGGTATGTATGTTAGTTTCCTTTCTCTCCCGGGTTTTCGTTTTCTCGATCCCAAGTTACCCCCCATCACCTTCAACAACACATCACACATCAGAGGAAATCCTAAAACAGAATGTCGAGATTGTCGCTTGCTCTCAAAGTTGCCGTAGGCCTGCTTATGGTCGACTCGGTCATCGAATTAGCATTCGTCAGTAGCATGGTGTCATGGTTACATCGGACAGCTAGCAAGGGATTCTCATTCAAATATGGCGACTCGACATACCACCTGGCCGGCGAACCGTTACATATAATGACTGACCAAGGGCATACGAGTAACGGCGCCGCTGGAACTGCCTTCGTTCTCATCGGGTTGGGCGGCATCCTCGCATTATGGCTCCGGTCCTGGTCTCGGAAATATGGCGGGATGGGAACTTTCACACGATTTATATACTACCTTTGGGTAGCGCTAAATATCCCGGCGCTCTTACTCACCACCGGGGCACTCGCGTATGTGTTCGCAGTCACAAACGCGCACGAGGGGCAAAGCATTGACGTCCCACTAGCTACCACTTTAAATGGTAGCAAGTACCCATTGGAGTTTTGGACGCCGCAGAATTGGTTCTCAGCTGTTCTTCAGTTAGACCTAGTCGATGCAAGAGACGATATAGAAAGTCACGTACGCGTTATGAGGGGGTGGCAGTATAACTTGATTCCGATGTTCATCGTTCAGCTTGGCGTTACTATTCTTGCGGTATGGGAATTCCTCGGCTGGAGACGGCAAGAGGTCTTTAATCGCGGAGAGAAATAGTAAAAGAGGGTACTAGGTATCTGCAAGCTTCTTCGATGTCTTTCGTGTTTGGAGTTCAGGTATGGTGGAGGAATCTAGCAAAATGTCATTATGCTTCTATTAAAATAAGGGGAGATGTTCTCGGAGTTATAAGCTTGACTTCGTCGTCTATTAAGAGCCCAGCCACATTCATTATGTCCCCATGCTGGGCTTCTACACAGCCGTCACCGACGCGCTACTGCTACGTACCTAGTACCTAAGATATTCAAGATACCTTCAGTATTTGCGACGCACCTGTAGCAAAAAAGAATAAATAAAATTATCCTGGCTTTCTTTGCCTTAACAACTTGGTTAGCCAGATGTTATTAACACGTATAGGTAGTCCAAGTGTTTAGGTACGCGTAAGAATGTTGCTAAACTACACGTAAGTCAAACATTGATATAGAAACGAGTTAGACATGGATACCTAGACTTGGAGAATCTCGACTAAACTAACCCCACATTCTCTCTCCCTGGACACTTCGTGATACCTACAGTTACTACATAATGAGACCCACAAGGCTGAAGAACAGTGATACATGGTGTCACGATCAGATGAAAGGTAGTATTAAAGGAGGTGAGCGTTAAACCTACATAAATTTCACAGACTTTCGACTTGCAAATAACTAAAACAACATCATATCGACTTTCGTGATATGTATGTACCTAGCTCGTAATTTAGCGCGCGGGGCGGCTCAGGGGTACGATTCATGGCGCAGACGGTGGCATGTCGCGAATGACAGGGATCATCGTGTACGTAACATGAAGTCCCTTGTTCCAAAGTCCCTGACCGTTATGTATTGCCCCTTACTTTTTACCCCTCTGTCATCCTTTCATTCCTTCTCGTCAGCGAGAGGCCTCTCAAATACCCATATAAAATTCGAGTAGATCTTACCAATAGTTGCTTTCAATCCTATTAACCTTTTACAAAAAAGTAAACAGAAACCTGTCATCGTGATATTCTAGATATTGGGAACCTACTTCACGCCAAATATGTCAAGCCAAGATTACTACGGCGGTGGTGGTGGTGGTTATCCACCATCCCATAACCAATACCCGCCCCAAAACTACAACCATCAGCAGCAACAGTACCCGGGCCAGAGTCCTCCTCCAAACCAGTACCAGCCCCAAGGCTGGAGTCACGACAACAGTCAATACGGCGGACAGCAGTACGGTGGACCGCCACCGTCACATACGCCGAACTCTTACGGATCGCCGCCTCCGGGTCAGTACTCGCCTTATCCGCCGCAACAACAACCTTACGGTGCACCCCCACCACAAGGAAGCCCTTCCCCTTACCCCGGCGGCCCGCCCCCTTACGACAATCGTTCCGGCTCGGCGCAGGGCCAAGGCTACCCATCGCAGGGTTACCCGAATCAATACCCTCCTCAGCAACAACACCAACAACACCAACAACCGCCGTACCAGCAGCAGCAACAGCACCAACAGTACCCACCCGGACAACAAGGTGGCGACTATCAGCACGATCCCAATACCGGTGATAGGGGGCTAGGGTCATTAGTAGGAGGCGTACTTGGGGGTAAGAAAGGCAGTACCCCACTAGCAGCCATAGGCGCAGCAGCCGCCGCGCATTACCTTGGCGGTTCTTCCCACGGAGGCAGCCAGGGCGGTCACGGAGGTGGATACGGAGGAGGTCATGGCGGAGGGGGCATGGGTATGGCCTCGGCATTCGCTCCCGCTGCTGCATTTGCTGGCGCCTATGGTGGCAGTAAGATGCACAAGAAGGACAAGAAACATAAAAAGGATAAGAAGCACAAGAGCCGCAGCCGCAGCAGCAGTTCGAGCAGTGGAAGTAGCCGGAGCAGCTAGGTAAAGCCAATAGGTGGCTTACCGCGTGGATATGAGATATTACTGAACGAGGGGATCACGATTTCGTGACGATGAATTAGATTCAAGCTTTAGGATCTAGGCCATCTAGAGACCCTAGGTCTATCATCATCATCATCACACTTCCATATAATGCTTCGCCAAGCCTACCATCTTAAGCCACTTTTTGAATATGATTCTCGTGGGGACAAACGTTGCTACTATCGAATCCAGATGTGACAAGTTCTGTTTTAATATGCTAACTATCACAGCCCTCAGCCAGCGACTAATCCCACGTAATGGATCACTTGTCACACCTAAGGTATATTCAAAACCTCATACATCCACTCCCGTCCGCCATCATCCTTTTTCTTAGCATTAACCCCACAATCGCCATCTCTACTACTACCACTACTATCATGAACCTCCAAATACTCCCGCGTACGCAATCTCATCCACTGCAGACGCTCCAGAATACGAAACTGCAGCACAAAGCGCCTCTGACGCGCGCGCGACCAGCCCGGCCGCGCGTCCAGACACAGACATAGCAAGTGCGCAAAGAACCGCGGTAGCAGGCCCTTGTGCTGCCCCCCGAACAGCTCGAGCCGGTCCGGCACGATGGAGACCTGCGGGTCGCGCGCGTTGTTCATGTGGAAGAGGGCCGTGCTCATCACGGCGTAGATCGTGTGTCGGGGGGGTACTGTCGGAAAAAAGAGAGAGACGGCTATGTTAGCAGCAATGTCTTTAGGCCGGAAGGAAATGAATTAAGCGATATGGACGGAAAACGGGCAAGAGTCTATCTAGAGACACTTACCAGGACCCCGTAGGGTCTCTTCGATGTGTTCGCAGATATGATATACAGTTCGGTAGCGAATCCGGCTCATGAAATCTTCTCGGGAGTACACGTCATCGATGAACTCCGGTGCCTCGACGTGTTCCCAGAATTCTCGGATGTCCTTTCTGCGCGATATCCTGTCTACGTGATACGTGTCGTGCCAGGTGAGTTCGTCCCACTACGCATATATGTTTCCGTTAGCGAGTGATATGTAGACCGTGATGCGGGTATCAGATAGGAAAAGCCATTTAGGGGTAGAGGGGTCCGCCTTACCTCGCGATCCCAGATACTAATCGTGTGCACGCCCTTCTGCAAAACATTCTTGCGATCGATTCTGTGCTTGTGTATAAAGCAGAGGAAACGATACCGCGCGGGAGGAGAAAATTCCATTGGTTGGTTGCCATCGCCGTCGTTGTCTCCGTAGCGTATGGGCCGCCACCGCCGCTTCAAGTCTTGTCGTACCTCGAAGTCGAGCCGGATTTGGGGGTAATTTGGTAGGTCATCATTATTTTTATCGAGCCTGGCGGGCGGGATGATGGTGATGGGGTAGAAGTACGCCCACGGCCGGTCGCCTTCATCGCCAGTCCTCTGGTTGCAGTTGTAGGCGTTTAGTGCGAGAGGCAGTGCCTCCAGACGCGGGTAGCTACTCCGAGCCAGAGCCTTGAGTACAGCTACCAGGTCGCCGAACTCGTCGTCGCTAAAGTCTGGGAGATTCCGATCGCCGTCACCTGAGTATAGGAACGGTACTGGCTTGATAGGGAATAGATACCACGAGGACATTGTGTATATTGTCTGTATTTGTGCCTTGCTTGAAGAAGTTCAGTTCCTAGTCGGTTTCTAAGAACGGTAGGCTTCCAATGAGCGAAGTCGTACTAGTGGATGTATCTTGTTTTGGGAAAAGGAGTTATAACTAGGATTCGTCTAAAGGATAGGTTATTCTAATAGTTGCTAATGCTAAAACTAGAAAGGTCCAACTGGTAGAGGCTCTGAAAGCCAGGACCGCGACGTCTTATGATACTCAAAGGGCTCCAAGCAGCCTAGATAATTTCGTATGAAAACAATAGATGATATCTTTTATTCAACATTCTAAGAGATTCCGCTTGAAAGTATTTAGTCTTTTTCCTTATGACATGTAAGACAAATTAACGTGAAGCAAACACGACGGGCTTAAAACGCATGATTCCGCCCTGATGATTCCAGCTTGGTAAGGAGAGTAAGCTATAACTTCTCTATGTTGCTCGCCTCTTCTATAGTTCCGTTGCCATCTTATCTACTACCGTCCTCGGAAAGCAATATTGGCGTAGAACGCCCGTCAACTAAGACTTGCAACATTTCTTACTGTCGAATTAATAGTTGAATGGAACAATTACTTGATCATCTCCATGTTGAACAAGTCAATTTATTAATCATACATAGCAAACACTTCTCACAACCCCATATTCCCTAACTAGCAATACAGTCAAACAACTCCTCTCAAGAATCCCGCGAACTACGGTACACCTAGCTTGATCATCCCTTGCGAAGCAACCAGACGTAGTACCTTATACACTTTAGTATATCCAAAACCAAAAGCCTTCTCAAAACACAATACTCGCCCTGCCAATCCATATACGCCTAACTCCTTTCATCTCTCTCCTTTCAAGAAATCGCATCCTTCACTCAGCTCAATCCGGGTAAACACCAAGCCACTTCTCCCGTTTAACGCAAACGGAAGAGTCAAAATGGCACTTATCACACCAGTGCTGCAACTCGCGCTACCGCCGCAGGACCTCTTGGTCCTCGGTGTCAAGCGGGTGCACCTCAGGGACGCAGTCAACGCGCACTCCCCTATCCTTAAGCACCACTATGATCCATCCCCAGCAAGACAAGAGCTCCGGATTCACACGGCAGAACGTACCATGTTCGTCGAAGAACCGTAGTTCGGGGTTATCCTGGTGGCTTCTCGCATGTATGAGATGTCTGATGAAATTTGGCGACGGTCGTAAGGTGAACTCTTTCAAGTTGTGAAAACCCATCCCGCGGCTTACGAACTGCGCGAAACTAACGATGCACGGCAAGAACTTGGCCGTGACGTCGTAGAGCGCGAAGGACTCGAGCGAGGGGGGCAAAACGTCGATTAACCGCATCTCGCCGCAAAGGCTGCCTTGTCCATTGTACCCTGCAATCTCGTCGATCCATGGCTCCCAGAGGGTTTGTTGTGTGAGAATGATGCTTCGAAGAGCGGGAAAACACTTCAATTGGTTGATGAAGTTATACAGCATATCTAGATTTGCGAGGGGTGAATGTGTGTGTATACCCCAGGTCCTGTGACAGAAATGCTCGCGTATGTCGATCTCGAGCGTTTCTAACGATCCTCTTGCACGGCTCGACACTAGAGTAGCTACGATATCCCACGGGCTGGCGTCCCATTTCCGCGACCCATTATTCTCTTCAGACTGTACATTTCGCTGCAGATATAGGTTGTGATACCCCGAGCGGTACACAAAGGTCTTCAAGTTCGGCGAGCAGAACTTGACCGCAGTATCTAAGCCATTGGTCGAAATCCGGCAGGATAACAGGCGAATGGTGTGAACTCGGTCCAGGCGGATGTATCCGCGACACATTACCATGTTCACGGCCTCGAATACTTCGAGGTTGCTTAAGCAGACGAGGTGACGCCTAAAGTGACATATATCAAGGCTCGAAAAGACATCTGAGTATCCCACCACCCTGATGTGTTTGACGGTTGGAAACCGCGCGTTTAGTGGGAAATGGGTGTCGCAAGTGTTATATATGGAAAAGGATTCCAGGTTTGGGAGACTCGCGAGCAAGAGATACATCAGATGCGTACGGCCGTCATGCATCCTGGCGTTTACCATCACATTATTACCCTGTCGCGGAACGAGGTCAGTACGATAGGAGCTCGGCGGTAGAATCCTCAGAGACAGCGCCCTTGCGTCAAAGGCGTGAAGATGGTGAGTTTCAAGTAGACCATTATAATCCGAGAGACGCAGCCTAAATGTTGTCTCGCACGATGCAAGATCCGGATTTTGAAGAATGGTGTAAATGTAGGGAATGAGTCCCGCCTCCAACGGATGGACTTTGTATTTGGCTAGGAGCCGCGCCACGATGAGGTTGAGTGATTTGCAAACCTGACTCAAGTTAATCAGATCCTTAGCAGATCTGCGCGCGGCATCATAGTCTCGAAAGGTCCTGTAAGGTGGTTGAATATCCGGTAAGAAGTACTCGCATTATATCATAGACCAATTCCAACAAAAGGTCGAATAGTCGGAACAGAGCTTCATCCATAATGGCGTATATAGACATCTTGTATATATAAGGTAGATACCTAAGGTAGGTAGGTAAGTTTACCTCTAGATATTAATATAGGTAGGTAGCTATAGGAGGAAAGTAGCAAGTATTGAAGTAATATGAAACCAAGGTCTAAAGATTTGGATATAACAAATGACAGAGGAAGGGAAAAAAGAGGAAAAAAAGTCCCAAAACCTGGGTAGGTACCTATATATATACTTAAGGTAGGCAATATGTTGAGGTTTAGAGTTGAATAGTTGCACGGGTACTGTCAGGGGCGGCCCTTGGTACATTATAACCACTACAGAGTGACAAGTGACTAGATGGTGAATAGCTGCCCACAACTGTAACCCTAATTAGCTGACGTGGATCCCCGACCAACATATAGCATATATATTTTTAAGGTATTATTAACGCCTGTCCTTTTCAAATCTAAAAGGGAACCTTGGTCCCCTTCTATACAATATAGCGAATGACTAGCTAGTAAATAACTTCAAACTAAATCTTAAAACCCTTACCACGTCATACATCCGCTCGAGCGGCCATAGCTCTATACATTTTGTTGTTTCTCGGGCTTTAGCATATGTATAAATTGTAAGCGGTCGAAATTACGCATGACTTCTTTAGCCTCGCTCGGTTGCTTTAGCGGTGTCGGTGGACAAGGTCTAACGTTAGAACTTCTAAGGTCAGATATGGGTGTGCCGTAGCAGTGAGAGAGATAGGGTCTATTAACGATGATGTGTAAAGTCTAAGATATAAGCGCGTCGTCTCCTATATATGTTCACATATAGGTTACATAAGCTACTACATAACATGTATAGCACGTAGCCGGCGCGTAGCTAGCGCACAGCTGCACTCCCAACAAGGGGTTTACGCATATCTAAAGTTTCATGTTTCCCTTTCAATACAAGAAGCAACATTAAACATACCTAGGTATAGACGCTTTGATCTAACATAGAGTGTAGGTACATTTATATCTCCAGACTATGTACATGTAATGACTATTGAGGTAACGATACCTAAAACACATAGACTCGATACACAGCCAGATACGAGCATAGCCTGGGTGCTACACAACTTCCCACAAATACTTGCGCCGAAGCTCCATCAATTCTGGACCGTGCTTCTTCTCAAGCCGCTCTCGAGCCTTTATGCGCTTCCTCTTCTCTTTGTCATCCTTTGGAGGCTCGTCCGCTGTCACCAACTTTAATGCATCATCATCGCGCTGTGTCCAGACTCCGTGGGTCCTCTGTGGCAGCTCCTCGCCTCGTTTCAGTATTTCCATGACGTGACCGGCGTCACCGAGACGCCAGGTCGTGGCCCGTAGCGATTGGAGTACTATCCCTCTCGGATAACCTAAAGAGCAAAAACGATCGATGATATCTTCCGGCGTTTCTTTAGGCGAACTTAAGCGGCGTGACAGCTGAGACCGCTCTAGGCGTGAGTGCTGAATATCTTCTCTGGGAGCTACTACTGAAGTGGAAGCACCGCTAGTAGGTGGCGACTTTTGAGCATAAGATTTAGGCAGAGAACGGCGTTTAGTTATTCCTGAAACAGTGGCCCTTACAGAATTATCGTAGCTATGACTGGTGGTTGTTGGCCTTGTCATCTCGCCATCGGAGTCTTCCTGGAAAGGGTTCCGGATTAATCTTTTTGGTGTAGGGGTTCCTCGATTAGTGACCCGAGTTCTAACCTTGGGCGTAGGTGATGCGTCTGCAGGATCCAGAGATATCGCATCGGATTCTTGATGAAGCTGCTGCGACGGAGTAATATTGCACTGCGACTCCATCTCAAAATTTACCTGAGTTTCAAAGACTGGAAGCTCAGGGACTGCATCTCGAGATTCGTTATCTTCAATCCTCTCACCTGCAGTACGCTGGGTCGACCGTCTGGTGCTAGGGGTTGTACCGTTATCAGCTTGGGAGCGCAGATCGGAAGTTTTATTCACATGGTCGGGAGTAGACGGAATCTCCGCGTCTCGATTGATTCTTCGCCGCTTAGGTGACGGCTGTGGGTATGTGTGATCGGATGGCGAGCGATGCGCATCAAATGATCGTTTTAAGGAGGGCATAATTGGTGGTGATGATGGTAAAAGTTCCCGAGCATTTGAATCTTCTTCATCTTCTTCGGCTTCTTCGTCCTCGCTATCATCGGCCGTATCGGCATCGAAACTCTCCCAAATTTCTTCAAAAGCGGCAAGATATTTCTCATAATACTCTCTGATCTCATCGGGAATAGTTTCGTGTTGAACCCAGTCGAACCCAAGCCTTTCTGCAATTTGTTGCCAGTCGCGCTCACTAGAGTCCATCTTCTGAGAGGCGACAGCTTGCCATAGATCCCAAAGTTCGAACGTACGCCCTTTTATCGTGACCCAGGGTACAAATTGGAGTCCTTCGACTTCCACATATGCCTGATAATCGCAAAGAAATTGCTCCTTCATAGAAATATCATTAGGAAATGATTGATCGGAGTCATCCGCTGGTTCTTCTGATTCCTGTGCAGGTGCCTGGGGTGTTGTCTGAACTTCAGTATGAAGAATCTGGTGTTCTTTACCTTTATTCTTAACTACGTTAGCCTCAGCTGGACTAGTAACTGCTGTCGGCGCTTCATCTACAGTATGCAATGAATGTGTCGAACTTCGTATTCGAGAGCTCTTGAGCGGCGTCAATACGTCCTGGGGCTGTTCGGCTTCCATTTCTGTTCGCGTATCTAGTGCTGCTTTTACCGCTTCTTCAGGTTCTTCAAGTTCCTCTCCAAGTTCCTCTTCAGGTTCCTCTTCGGGTTCCTCTTCAGCAGGTCGTATCATAAATCTCGGCCCAAGCTTCTCAGTCCAACGGGTCATCCATGATTCCGCTGTATGTTGCGGGAACTAGACTAGGTTAGCGAAGAAACGAGGCGAAGGCAGCATTAAACCTACGTCGTCAGCGAGATCACGGAAAATCTTCACCCCTGTGATTTCCTTGCCCTGACGTACACAATCCATGACGTGTTGCATGAGTAGCTCATCGTCCTCGTCGGTAAATTCGGTCCGCTCCCGGGTGACGGCAGCGTTCCGAGTAGGTACGCGCCTCCCAAGAGATCCAGGAGTCTTCGGAGAGGCATGGGCTGAAGTTCGTCTAGTTGGTGGAGGAGATGGCGTTCTATCAGGCTCTTCCAGCCAAGGGAGAGATTGTAATTTTTTGATCCACCGGTCTCGCCACGACTGAAAAGTATGATGTGGGTACTAAGTTGTTCAGCTTACTGTTAACGTTGGAAAATAATGAGCATAATAAACGCCTACCTTTTCTTCGAGCTCTTTATAAATTGTATTTCCTGCTATTCTCGCTCCTTGTCTTGCGTGACTGGCAACCCAACTCCTGAGGATCCGGTCATCCTCGGCAGTAAACATGGTCCTTCTAGTCTTCAGAGGAGCGGCCGAGCCAGAAGGTTGAGGCTTACCCGTTTTAGTAGGCTCACTCTGCTTAGTAGGAACACACAAGTAATTTTCAGGTTCCTTCAAAACGCCATCTTTACAAGACTCGTCGATCCACTTATAAGAATATGATCCAGGTAGACAAGTATTCTTTATGGCGTGGTCGGCGATCAGATAATCTGCATCCTTCTCGAGAGGAACTACCTGGCCCCCGTTGTTCTAAGTGGTGTTAACATTATGTACAGAATGGTGGATCAACAAGTTGTATGTTCCTCCTACCTGGATCATTTGAACAAAGCGGAGCCGCGATGGCACACGATGCCCAACCCAAAAACGCTTGCCGCTAAACAGGCCATTCTGAGAAGGGTTTTTACGGGCTAAGGTCCCTTCGTAGACGATAGGGGCCGACATCTGGTTAATTCTCACTTAACCTCGTGAACTTTGGAGAATTGTTGAGATAAATAATAGTCTTCCGGAGTGTAGTATGAGTGTCGATCAAAATGAAATTCACCCGAATAGCTTAAAAATAAGTTAATGACCGTAGGGAATTAAATATTGTAAGTTCGCGATCTCGTTATTTTGATAACTTTCAGAGGTTTGGCTTTCATAGCGAACGCGTTTATGATATTCATTAGGCAACGTTGGGCACGTTTCGCGACAACATGGGATCCAAAATATAGTAATAAAAGATGAAGAGACGTGTATCCGGGTAGAGTAGGCCTTTTATTGTGGTATAAAAAAAAGGTCAGGCTTTAGTTTGTATAAAAAGTCCCGTGAATAGAGTTTCATAAGACGCGTGATGCGGATCGCGATTTCCCAGCTGCCCAGGCACTTTAAATCCAATTTGGGGATAGTCATGTGGGATTTAAGGTTTATGCTTATTTCGGGGGTTCTTTATCGACTTAACGGATAATAGCCTCAGTAGCCTCAGTTTTATCCTGACAGAAGCGGCTGAATGACTTGAGCACCGCCCCAACTTGCTAACCAATAAAAATTCAGGTTTAATCTAGGTACCTAACCCCATGTATTGTACCTGCAGCACGAGCCGACAGCCGCGATAGGCATCTCTTTTAATAGAAGTCATACACGTACCCGTACCCATACCAGCTGACGAGCGCGTACGTCGCTGACCGAAATTGAACAAATATAAACACATTTCATCCTATTATACGGAATAGTCCTTTCGTCATAATCAAAACAGGGCCACCTAGTCCGCAAATAATTCTTGTGACCTTTCATCATCAGCATTTTACGTATCAGCTTTATGAAATGAGTCTGTACCGACTCCTGTTCCTGCGTCTGATGACTTGGCCATGAACCAGTTCGAAATATCCCTTTCTAATGTTCGATTAACGCATATATCACCTATTATCATCCTCTCTTCCGGTCCGTGACAATGGGCCCCCTTACCAGGATCTCCCTGGCCGTTCTCGCCATCTCTTTTATGGTCTTTGTCGCTTTTTTCGGCAGGCTACCGGCTCTAAGGTATGAGCGTAACCCACGGGCCAACTATTCGACATGTCGTTTAATAGTATGGTATAGTACCTATTTCATTACTAATTACGACCGTATAGACATACTCCAATAGCCTGGCTGCACCGCGCGATATGGGTGTATATACCAAATACTATTCTAAGCCTTGATCAGCGCCTCACCTCAGGCCGCCTCACCACGGCGCTAGGTAGATTTGGTACTTATATCATGTACGACCGGCACCCAACAGTACTCGTTTTCTTTCTGTTGCTACTGTCCGTAGGCGAGTTCATGTTCCTACCAGGGGTATGGCCGCGCTTGAGCCGCCTTCATAAAACCCTAGGAAGCATATCCATCATCTTACCGTATCTATTCTTATACCTTTCCGCCACTGGCGACCCGGGTGTTGTTACTCCCGCTAATCACTCCCGTTATATGTCGCATTACCCGTACGACTTTGCGCTTTTCCGACCAGGTCAAACGTGCCGAACATGTGGGTTACTGAAGCCCGCGCGCTCTAAGCACTGCTCCGTCTGCAAGCGCTGCGTTCACAAGATGGACCACCACTGCGTCTTCATCAACAACTGCGTCGGCTACGGCAATCAGCATTATTTTATCCTCTTACTTCTATCAACCGCCGTCCTGACTTTGTATGGTGGAGTTCTCGGCCTCGGTGCAGTCGCCGACGCAGCGCGTACGCGCAACAAGTCGTTTGTGCTGTTCCCCAAACCAGCGAGTTGGTCCTGGCACGAGTATTTGATGGTTCTCACCCTGGGTATCCAGGACGACGTGGGTGTAGGGTCCATCACGTTACTCACGCTGATGACGACACCTCTGGTCTGGGGCCTGCTTGGATACCACGTCTACCTGATTTACTGCGGCACGACTACTAATGAGAGCATGAAATGGCAGGACTGGCAAATGGAGATGGATGATGGCTGTGCGTTCAAGCGCTCCCTGCCACTTGATCGGGTTAAAAATCTGCGTCACGAGGCAGCCTGGACGCGATGGCCCGTCGACGCAGTCCAGGTAATCGTGCGCACAGAGGACGGCACGCCGCCAGATCCGAACATACCTCCAGGTGTCGGTGAGTGGGAGCGCGTCTGGCGCTTGCGCGATGTTGAGAACTTGTACGACCTCGGTTTTTGGGACAACCTAGTCGACGTCTTCGTGCCCAACTACTCTTTTCGACGGGCAGATGCCTCAGCGGCAGATCTGGAGAGGGGCAAGAGGCGGGCCAAAAACCCGCCCAAAGCCCCGCGAGCATCAAATTTCGTAGCAGCCGCTACGTAGTTGAACAATATTAATACGAAGTAAAATATGGTTGAATAGAATCAAGAGTTGTGTTCAATATGTCCTTATGCTACCTATATGCGTGTGACCATAGTAGAGTACATCATGTACAGCCATCGTGTTAGACTCACGACAGGTATCTATTCAAGGTAGGTTGCCCATATGATATGTCGCTATACCCGAGTCCGAAGCCAGCCCAGGCGTTGGCCCTTTATACTAGAACACCAACATCATCCCCACCTAGAATTTTCCCGTAAATGCTTTGGCAAATTTGGCATCAAACTCATCCATCACTACCTCTTTTTCTTTTTGCTTCGTTTGTTTCTTACCAGATTTATTCTGGCCTTTTTTCTTCTTATTGGTTTTTCCTGAAGATGGTGACGGGGTGTCTTCCCACGCCGATTGCGTCACTAGAGCCTTAAACGCGTCTGGAGTCATAACCTCATTTTTCTGTTTCCCACTCTTGCCCCGCGACGAAGGAAAGTCGGTGGGCCATTCTTCTTCCCCCGTCAACCTCTGCTCGCGTATCTTTTGTGACCTAGCCACATCCTCGGTGAAGCGCTTGCTCAGGGCCTTCTGCAGTTTTTCCTCCTGTCTGCCGAGGATGTTGCGTTTTTCGGGCTCAGGGGGTAGACGCTTATCCTTCCTCCGCCGCACGTTTCGAACAAAGCTACTAGTTGTGTTATTGGCCTTAAGTTTTCTTATGAAGTCGTCTAGGATGTCAACCATCTCCTGTGAATCCTGCGGGCCTGGGTTTTTCATCCTATGGCTGTTACTGTGGAAGTTTCGAGCCTGGGGTTGGGTGATAATCCTTGAATGTAAGGAGCTAAAAACACCTGGGATGATTCCATAACGAGCCTCGTGCCCCCTGCCCGCAGCCCATTCTAATTTAGCAGATTCAGAGGTGTCTACTTTCTTGGGTAAGGAATCCTTTGGCGCATACTGCAAGTCTTCAAACGAGATAACCTTGCCAGACCACTTCTTGTTCTCTTCTGAGTTCGGTCGGTTGGTTTCTATCAAGCCTGCTAAACGAGCTACAGCAAATCTCGCATGCGATGCTGTCGAATGTATGACAGCAGCGTCTCTCGCGCCAAGGGCAGTGACAAAAACGTCTCTATCCAAATTCCAATTATAATTCTCTTGTGAATTTTCAATCTCGAGAATGTTGTCCCGTAACTTGGCACATAAATCACCCAAGGCGGGTAGGCCACCTTTAACCTTATCAGCTTTAGTGAGAACGATGGAGGTTCTCATATTGGCAGAGCTCAATAATTGCAAACACTGCAAATCCAGCTCCTTGGGCCCAACTTCGGCATCGATCAAGATGATGGCTCCTTTTACGCCTATCCTCTTAGTTAGGTATAGTGTGATATTACGTCCCCAGTCTTCCAAGGATGCGTGTCCGTATCCGGGCATATCCACAAGGTAAAAGGTGTGAGTTGGGATATCCTCTTTTCCTTTAATTTCGGCAGCCCACGCGGCAATATCTTTCGGCAGCGGCGCTGGTCCAAATCCATATGTGTTCATCTCTCTAGTTTTTCCAGCGTGCTTGCTAATACGTGCCAGCGAGTTTTGGCTTCGTTGACTTCGGCCAGCAAGAGCATTGACGAAAGACGATTTGCCAACGTTCGATCGGCCGAGGACACAGACTTCGGGGATGAGGGTATTTTTCTTGAGCTTGTAGAAATCTGTCTCTCCATATTGGAACGTTGCCGGATTCCTAGTAAAGAGGGTACTTAGTCCGGAGAGGAGAGGCTCATCGGGAGTTGATCGCATATGGGATGTTTTGCAAAGCGTCTCGAGCGAGACATTGTCGACGCGACCTTGTCGAGACTCGGGGATATGGAAAGCAGCGGCTTCATCGTAATTCCAAGCGGCGGTAGATCTATAAACCTTCAAAGCAAGGTTGATCCGACTTGGTCGTATTCGCGGGGGACCCCCGATCACAGCGAGTCGCAGAGAGGGCGGCATCGCCAGACAGGCATTAAGTTGGTTCGACAAGGACATTTTGCAGATTTGCTGGATGTAGGATTGTCGTGTGTATAAGCGCACTATAGGTAAGCTACATGACGGAATATAACATGGGTGGTATGCGTCTCTAGACCCCGACGTGAGGGATCGCAATGAATCGCAATACACATTAAAAAAAATAAAAGTAAAAGATCGTATTTAGCGGCGATAAGAAATTTCAAATTGAAGATAATTTGGGGCGGTACTTCGGTACATAAAGCAGACCACTGCTACATTATGGACCCCGCTATGTATACGTAGTGTACCTGCATTATCTTATCGATCTTATCGCAGCAAACGATGCAATAAAAAAGGTCCCCGATAACATCCACATCCCGCATCAGCATCATTCAAATATACACGTAATTATCTAAGATATTTACCTAGGTACCTACCTACCTACCTATATATCTCTGTCAACCCGTGTCTATTTAAAATAAGCGTCGCCTACTCTCTTACACTATCAGCATCCTCCCAATCGCCATGTCGAAGCCGTCACAGTTGCGTTCCCTCTACCGATCACTCCTTCGAGAACTCCCTCCCAAACCACTCCCGTCTTCCTCTTCGCAAGTCCGTTCGCCTTTACATCAACAATTAAGACAAAGCTTCTCAAACGATCCACCTCAAGAGCACGCCATCGCCCAAGCCGACCAGTTACTACAGTATCTTAAGGCACAAAGACAATATACGACTCTGCTGGAGCGATATAATCCGGGTATGGGTATGGATGAGGAAGAGCGCGTCAGGCTGACCGCCCGTCGGGTCGGCATGGACTTGCCAGTAGAGTACGAGAAGCCAGGCAAGGACAGTTGAAGTACAAAATCATAGGAGGGGAAGTTTACGGAATAATGCCGATTCGCTTATACAACACCATGAATATCGATTAGAACCTCTGCCCCAAAGATGTCAGGAATACACCCGACTCTTTGATCTTGTATTGATGTGGAATAGACCCAAACGTGTGAATCGCGTACACGAACGGGTTGTATCGCAAGGGATTGCACGAAGAATGAGACCGAGCGGTCCACGCTTCTTCAATCCGACGCAGTTACCAATCCCGAATAATGAGGCAACAATTTGACTCCTTGCCTTACTTCACAAGAGATCCTTTTGCTTCTCATGTAGTCCTAGGGTGGTAATTAAGGGGCTGAGACTCAGCTCGCGTATGTATCTCACGAACATCGATGTACATATTCATGATTTTTATAACATTTCTTAGTACCCAAATTACACTGCCATATCTTCCAATCAACTATCCCCCACCTAATTGCCATGGAAGTAAATACATAAAAATAAACCGGTATCTTTATGAGTCTAGAACTGAATTGAAGATTATCACCGCTGGAATCAGGGCAATAATTGCCGCAATTGCTGTAGTTGCGGGTGCGAGGAGACCCAGCATCGCAAGACTCGTCAGCGATGCGAAGATCCCCCCGGCCGGCGTGAATCCGCCGTACATAGCCGACTGGAAGGCAGCGGCGAGCGAGCCTTAATGCATATTAGTAATGCTTGCGCTGTGGATTTCAAGGCTAAAAGAACAACGAAAGTGGCTGTATCTCACCCGCAATAACACCTTCTGAACCGAAACCTAAGCTCAGCCCAAGCGTAACAACGGCCGTAAACACAATCGCCCAAGCGATGATTGCCCAGTAGACATCTAACATAGATTCGTCAGTATATCACCATTGCAGTAGTCTACACTTGACTTAGCCTCAGAAGACTTACGTGGTAGTGCGATATACGCCGCAAATGACTTCCCAATCGAACCAAGGAACTCCAATACCTGTTGAGTCACCTGGGACAATTCAGTAGGATCCATCTTGATAAATCTCTTAAAGACAGAATAGGCGAAGTGCTTTATTTTAGTAACGGAGTAAGCAACACTTGGAACCACGACGACGAAGGAGATCTTCCACATGATGATCCATCCGAGAATAGGAACGAAAAGTAGGAAGGAGGGAAAGAGTTAAGTACTTAAAATATTGCGGTGAGGCCAAACAGCCGGCGACACGACATTTTGTACTAATGAGCTAAAGTCGTTTGAGGTAGATATGTACATAATCTTTACTGTGCTGTTTGAAATAGGAGTAGGAAGTGAGAGACAGAAGCAACGAGTATTTTAGCTACAGTTATGTGGGAATCTAAACTCAGAAAGGAACACTATAATATTAAAGAATCCCCTTATTTCAATTAATAGCTTGGTTAGGTATCTCGCTTCGTAATATCGAAGATTTGTTATTCTTCAGGTTCGGCCAACTTAGTATTTCGAGCGGGATACAGTTTAGACACAGTATCACAAACGACAGTAAGAAATTAAAGGACAGCCTATGGACACGGCGTTGAATTGAAGAAGTAGAAGACCAATAGTGATAACATATTCAACCCTCTCATGTATACCCCTCATGCGATGCTACAATTCCTTTTTATACAATCTAATGATAGCCAGCTGTCTTTCTAGCCATGTATGTCATTTTCCTCTGCTCCATGTTTTACACGGCTTTAAACAACGTTCTATAAGAGTATCGAATATCACTTATGCCATTTCATCGTTTCTCGTATTTTCCTCAGATTCTACCTACATTCTCACAGGTCTCTCTTTGCTAATAAGGCCTGTTCGTCTCCTGAATTATCCCACTAATTTTCCCCTTTCAATATTCATCCATGGCCATTCTAGAGTCCCCGACACCTGCGAGCCCATCAGCTTCTACCAATGCACGGTCTTCTACTAATAACCGAATTAAGCTAGAGATCAACATAATACAACCTACCACAGCCAAGATGGTAGAAATACTTTCAGAATAGTTTTCTTCGTGCGACTCCAGGGCAGATTTGGCTGGAATTATCGATTGGACCTACCTCTCGTCTATCACGATTCAGTGCAATGCGTCTACAATAGGTACTCAAAAAGTCGATTGCGTGTCAGGTTATCAAGTCGAACATAAGTACCTACCTAATCAGTCATATATCATGGACACGTCAGACTGCCGTTATATTGCTACTGGCTATTGTAATGCAGCTTCTCACTACTGAACTCTGACATGCATCGTCGAAATGAAGTGCATATCCAATAGCAAGACATTGACTGCGTGTACTCACTACCCGGGCGTACTACAACAATTCAGAAGGAATGGACACTTCCCCTTCCCCTTCCCTATTAATCCCAAATCCAACACTCACTTAACTAATCATACTTTAGATAGGTAGTATTCTCCAATTACGGACATTATACAAAGTATCGGAGCGTTTAGAACCATGCTGAGCAAAAGCTCCGGGCGTTCGGTGGCCTTATTACATCTAATGGGCGCCGCCATGCTTCGGTATCAACAGCCTACTGCTATGCTCCGACGATCCAATCGAAAATAGCATAATGGCATTGGCCTCTCCAACCAGGATACCATTCATCCAGTGCATGCAATGGAACGCCCTGGGTGATCAGTGCAGAGTAAAGTCCTGCTGCTAATGGTTGAGGTCATATCATGATATTCCGAGAAACTAGAGAAGCTTCTTCTCGAATCCTGTTCCGATGGCGAAATTGGATTCGGGCAAGGGACCAAGGGACATTCCCGAGATATCAATGAGTTCTGGTGTGAAAATGGAAGCCTTGTCTCGTTACACAGCTGCAGGCAAGTTTTTGCTCTCCAATTCGAACATTAGGTACCAATTATAGCTTCTAATTATCATCTCAATGTTATACGTTGCACCCATCGTCACATTATTGTGTACTTTTGGCTTCATTCCGAATCCCTTTTTCTTGGTCCTTTCTTCTGTAAATATTTCACAAGGAATATTGCCAAGCATACGACCAGATTGCTTATCATTTAAGATGATTCTAACAGAGTTGCTGTATGGGCATATGCACATTGAAGACGACTAGCATACATTCCGCCCGATTACACCACTATGGTATCGATCGTGAGGGAGGGGAGGTATCCGACAAGCCTGCTCGACTTCGCATCACTGCCCAATTCCCCTTTGTCAACACTTTCTGCAAGGTAAGAACTTTACCCCCCTATCCCCCCTTGTCGTCTTCGTTTACTATGTCCTTTATTATATGCACATATTTTCACCGTGCTTATTGTATGGGATAATATTGCATTTGATTTAATGCTTTCGCTGGCGGAATTTAACTGGACTGATGAGATCATGACCATACGGGGGTAGGACACAGATTCTGCAACTTAATGGCGCCTTTCAACCCCCATCTACTTCCCCTGGGAGTAGTATATATATCACTCGAAATTTCCAAAAGATAATTTACGATTTACCTTTTTCTTCTGGCTCAACCATCACCGCTAGTCTCAATTCTTCGGAAAATGATATAGCACTTTACCCTGTGGGTAGAAGACGACATACCCATTGTAAATTGCTTTATTAGAACTCATAACTACAGTACCGTGTCAAAAAGAACTCGGATTGTTTTTATTGATAGAGTATAGTTCCTGAGAAGGAATGTAACTAATATTCCCCTGGTCTATTCAGTATAACCCCACACAAACAAAATCACCACTACTCGAGAAACCCACCTACGACTCACACCGTTGACGAAATGAGTTTGAGAATATACCGCCTCAATAAATTTCTTGTTGAACCTGACAGTGCCTTCTTCGTGCCAGAACCATCTCAAGCTGAATAGCTGAGTTACCATTTCTTTTTGGTAAGTTTTTGTTACTCCTGGACATTGAGTCTAAGACTCAAACGTAGCAGGCATCAACCAATCATGTTCGATGGATAGTGGCCAAGAAGGCCAGCCCATGAAACGGTTTAACAAGATAGGATTTGGTCTACAGAGATGTCCCTAGTGTTGTCGGTAGTATCGTGCTTTTTCTTTTCCTGAGTACGGTAAAATAGGGGGTTCGTAGCACGACGCGGGCAAAGTCAGCTTAAAAACTATTTAACTCCATGGACCATAGTACTCTAGAAACCTATGTATTTATACTTCATACAAACCCAATCGCCTATGAGTTTCAAATCATAAACAGTGAGGTAATTTGTTAGGAGATTCAACTATAGGTACGCAAGATTTAAGACCCATTGCCTTCCCTTTCTTGTAATAGAAGTTGTATCCTTTCCGCAAGCAACGATGTTACCAACGGATGTAAAGAAAATAGTGATATTTTCATAGAGAAAAGAGTAGACATTGAAGTCCCGACATTTCCCGTTGCAGCAGACGGACGACTCGATCTCTCCTATATTTGGTCACTCGGAGATATCGGCAGCCTAGATTCAAAGTTGGGCAGCAACAGTGTGATTTCTAAATAGGTATCTTACGAGGCTACGTTAATCTATGTAGGTAGTAATCTACCTATTTTTGTTTGCGTTTCTCCCGGCGTATTCCGCATTATCGCCATAACACCTCTCATGAATCAGCCAGGGGTGAATAATATAGCTTCCCAAGCTTGTTAACTTCCAATGTGATGCCTAGTTCTGGTCATATGGGGAAAAGGCTGATGATGTTAACTGGGACACGATTTTAGATCCAAGCTGAGTAAAATTTCTTCGATTAAGATTACCCCTAATCGACCTATGTTTCGACCCCCCCGTCTTAATATTTGCGATGATTATAATAGATTTTGATAGGTTAGCAATATACCTCAGTAGGTACTTACCACGATATTCTGAAGTAGACACCATTTTTCCAGTTAAAGATATAACACTAGATCAACCCAGTCAATTCAATTCACGAATAATTACTCTTCGAAAAGCATGAATACACGTAGATGATACAGCTCAAGGCCACGATGATATTTACTATTTATATCTACCTAAATACATAGATCCGCCGGCTCACAAAGACAGACACCCTCTGTAGATCCCATCCGCTCCAGAACAGCAAAGAGTAAACAAAAACGGCCGTGTCATATAATCATCATATACGCCATTAGCTAAAAGGGGTATCACACAAGCAGGCAAGCAAGCAAGCAAGCACTAATCTTCGACTGCGCACACATGATTGAATTCATTACACCAACGCTCCCACCTAAAACTTTTTTCTCGTTTTTTTTGGAACCTTCGTCTAGCGCTTCAGCAAGGTTTGAAAAAAAAGGAGGGTTATACGCCGCCGACTCCGCCGTCCTCGAGACTCTCGTCCCATCCCCCTGTCGACAGGAGCCACTCGCCCACGCGCTCCTTGACGCCTTTCATGGCCTCGCCGAGAGCGCTCTCCCATTGGTCTTGCACAAGGCGCACTTTTTCCTTGAGATCGTCCGTGAGCCTCGTCTGTTCTGCCGCACGCTCCTCCTCGATGACACGTGGGTCGTGACCCTCCGCCTCACCTACCCTCGCACGCGCGCTCATCACCGCCTCTTTGACTTCGTGTAGTAGACACAGGAGATTGGTCTGCGACTCGATGAACTGATACGTGCTCTTCTCGGCGTGTAGCAGCAGGCTGAATAGGTACTGTAGCGGGTGGTGGTGGTAGCTAGGGTTCTCGTCGTACTCAGCCGGCGGGATCTGGATGCGGAAGTGTCCGTCGACTGAGGCTGGGATCTTATCGAGTAGTCGTCGAAGGGGCGGTGCCAGGTCCCAGAACGCGTTGAGCTGCATATCGACACCCCGCGTTACGTTCTCCTCTACCACGTCCCGGAACTCGCATGTTCGCTGTAGAACTTCGCCCGCGAACGCACGCTGCCGCTTACACGCATCGTCTACGAAGAATGCTTCTGCCGTCCGTAGTTTCTCCTCGTTGCCGGAGAGACGGTACGGGGTGATTACCATCTCTTTGTACCGATTGTTGCGATCGCTTAGCAAGTCGTATATTTCACGGTGTAGCATCTCGCGGGCTTCGAAGATCCATTTGAGCAGGGTTAGCTTCTCCAGGAG